TTCTCTTCAAAGTTTCAGAAGGAGAGCTCCTATCTAGCCTAATTCTAGCAGGTTACAAAACACTTCGCTTCAAAGGCGAAAAACCCCTCAGACAAACAAGATGCACGGGACTACGGAAGCAGCGAGGGCTTTTCCGCAGGCCTGCAGAGGAGCGCTGTTAACTGATTGTCTCTACCGCCTGCGTCAGACTAATAAGTCTTTTAAGGCAAACAGACTGCAAAATTGCCAGATTCAATTGAAGGCTGAGCTAAAAAAGGAAAATGCTGTCTATGAATGCAGACTAAAGGTGACAGTGATTCAGCACATTTCAGCTGATTGCTCATTTAGTATCCGGACTTTTGATTAACTTGTCAGAATGTAGAAAGGTTGATGCTACAGAAATTGGAACTCATGCCTTCCCTCCAGGAAAAAAGCAAAAATAATGGATAATACTGAAAGCGATGAAACAAAACGCTCCCCGGCTGCAGGACGGCATTATTCTGATTATAGGTAGGTTTACACCAGACTTAGCTTCTTGATCCAAAGTCAATAAACACCAAGGGAAGAGCAGGAATGAGGCACGGGAAGCAGAAGGACAATGTTAGATGGTTAAACAAGGGGAAGGTAAAAATTGTAGAAAATAAGACCCTGCTGCACTGTGAGAAACTGCCCCAGGGAACGTCTGCTGCCACCTCAGCCAGCGTAGATCGAGCTCTTCAGTGTCTGTCACCCAGAGCATCTCATGGGCTATGAAGCGGGAACACAACTCTTCAGTACTGAACGTGCCATCCTGCAACCATCAGTGGGAATGAACCTGAGATACCATCTGTGACACCCTGCGTTCAGAGTAAAGAGCCATAGTTGCAGATTCAGCTAGACCGTATGACAAATATGCAGCTTGCGGGATCTTGAGGAGAAAAGGGGGAAAAGAGCACGTATGCTGCTAACTTTAAGGATCCTATATACTCAGTCGAGGCAGAAATACTTTCCGATGGGATGAAGTGAACTCAAAGTCAGGCAGTCTTTAAACTCTAAGTCTTTACAGTCGCAGTAAAGAGATATGTTTAAATGATCAGATTTTTCTCTACAAGCAGTCACGTAAGGCAAGGCATTTTTCACTGAATACAGGCTTGCTCTTTGTTCTTATAAAGGTAATTCTCTCACACACACATGCTTCTTGCCTAAAATACGGTGAACTAAACCAGCTCATTCTCTGCATGCAGTAGTACTGCTCCACTAGCCAAATTACCGAATCACTCTCCTGCAGCATGCAGAGCTTTACTGTTCTTTATTACCTAGGCTTTGTCTCCAGGGATTCGGAATAAAAGAAACAGTCAGATCCAATGTTGTATCAATTCCTGCTTCTTCTGCACAAAAGCAGTATTTAGCCTATCGACTCAGACCTTTAATCTGAGCATGACTGGCTAGCGTATTACTACAATATTTTTATTTCACAGAAATAACGCACTTGATAAGAAAAAAAGAATTGGGAGTATTATTTTTCCCATGAAGACGGGATTTTTAGGTGTAACACTGGAGCTGCACGCTTGGCTGCGGCGGTGCAGAAGGCTGCTGGGTATCACCTGCCCAAGCGCCGACCCCGGAGGGAGGGCACTGCTCCCTCTCCCACCAGGAATCCCCACTCCTCTCCCTCTCGCTTCCAGCCAGCACAGCTCTTGCTTACAGCAAAACATTCACTCGGCTTGTCACGAGCTTCAGTTCTCGTGACTGATTCTGTAGTACACAGGGACACCTTCATCCAGAAAAGAGACGATACCAGCCAGACCTCCCAAGGAAACTGGTGGGGCTGTAGCCCGGACAAAGCAGAACTGACGACAGGCTGGCTACAGCAATTCAGAGCCGTGACAGCTTCGCTTTCAAGGCTGAGCTCTCGCGCAGAATCAAGGGTCACACCTAGTGCAAGTTTAATAAGAGCACCCAAGTATCTGTGTGCCGAGAGAGAAATGGAGACATCAAGAGTACTCCACAGGAAAATGTGATGCATTCAGCCTGAAGCAGGTAACAAAACATACTTAAGTGCCCACCCGTTTGTCTCTGTCCTTGCATTAATTTGGAGATCTTGCAAGTCCTCCTCCAGACCCATGGAGTAAGCTGGAGGGAACAGCATCCTGACTGCATGCATCATGGAACAAACTGCAGTTTTATCTGCGGAGGGAACGACCGAGTGATGCCGGAGGCACAGTATTGCATCTCTCTGAGACACTTCACAAAGACTTCCTCCTCATCTAAAAGACATATCGACTCTCACAGCTGTGACTTGTATTTTCCTGTTTTTGCACAACCTGGCTACTCATCATTGCTAACGGCTTGTAAGACACTTAGTCTGACAAACCTACAACTGCAGTGGGCAGGTGATCCCTATTCATTTCTAATTCAAATCTAACTTAGGCAGTTAGGCACACCTTCCAGAATACGTCTTACTTATTCCTTTAAGCAGCGAGTCCACTGGCAATATTGATCAGGAGTTCAGTTGCAACGTACTAGCTGATGACGCAAAGGTTTTGAAGCTTCAGACGCTCCTGACTCCCCTTCAGGGCTGAAGGAGAAAGGCAAGCATCAAGGCAGGCAAGCGGCAAGAGGACTGTATTTGAGAAATTGTTCCTTCCCCCTTTTTTTTTTTTTTTTTCCCTAAATAAAAAAAAAACTTTTTCTCCCAGAGCTGAATGCAACTACCTGCTATTTAGGGAGTTTAATTGTTCAGGATGGTGAACAGTTCACGCCAAGTTTCTGCATTGGCTTGAAGTCAATTTTGCTCCTATAGCTTTCAGTGCCTAGCCAAAGACAGCAGCAGCAAAGGATCATGTGTGTGCGGTTTGGACTACTGCCACATAAAACTGCCGTCCTACTTGCCTCCGACATCGCTAACGGCATGAAAATAGTTTGACAAAACAAAGATCAAATAGTTTTTTGAAAAAAATTAGGAGAAACCCCGATGTATGTAACCTCAGCACCTATAAAATGCTAAAAGAATTCCACATTCACAGCACAGGAGCATTACCATACAGATTTGATTTCACATATTGCCAGCAGCAGGGCATTCAAGTTCAGCGGAAGTGATTTGGCAGGTCTGAAAAGCACTCACGCAGGGTCCTACACTTCTGGCGTGCCATACAACAATATGCAATCACGGCAATTATTCCTCCTTTATGAGGACATTTAGTACATTGTACTGTGTCTCACTAGCTCCTTGCTCGCATTCAATTCTCATCCAGCAGCAGTTACGCTGAACAAAAATCACATTAATTGCAGTCCATTTGTAAGCAAAAATCTTATCTCCTGCAGAGGCATGCGCTAGACACGATTACAAATGTACAAGTTCTGGGCTCGCTATTTAAAATTATAGAAACACATCACAGAGTACCAGAGGACAGCGGAGGCTGGCAGGGACCTTTGGAGACTGTCTAGTCCAACCCCCTTGCCCTGTCATGGGGCACCACCGAGCAGAGCCTGGCTCCGTCCTCTTCACATCCCCCCGTCAGGTATTTATACGTGCGGGTGAGATAGCCCGAGCCTTCTCCTCTCCAGGCTGACCTCTCCCCACCTCCGCCTTGCCCATTAGATGCTCCAGTCCCTCAGTCATCCTTAAGAAGCTCTGCTGGACTCGGGAGCCCAGGACTGGAGCCAGCACTCCAGAGAGAGCCTGGAGCATCCCACCAGGCACCGTGGACTTGTGCATGTCTAGCTTGTTCAGCGATTCCTAACCCAATTCTCCTCCACTGAGAGTATGTCTTCCTTGCTCCAGACCTTCCCTCTGGTCTCATGGACCTAAGGTTTGTGAAGGATGGTCTTACCAGTAAAGACAAAGGTGAAGGTGGTATCGTTGCCCTTGATGTTCCTCACCAGACTCAACTCCAGCTGAGGCTTTCCTGATACCATCTCCACGTGTTCAACTCTATGCACGTGAACAGGTCCATGAAAACCCATGAGAACCTGTTCACTGGAAAGTAAGCACATGCCTGAGGGCTGCTGGAACCAAAGTCCCAGTGCTCGCTTGATTTTCCTACATGACTTTTTTTCCCCCCTTTCCTTCCCCTCTAAAAAGTAGATCACTAACTTCACAGCAGAACACTTGCTTACTTTAAGTATATACTTCTAAAAAAGCCACACGAAGCGTTGATCCCACCACCTTTTACATACATTGAAAAGACCACTGAACACTGGATAACTGGACTTCCCTGTATTTGTCCAGCAAGGTATAAATGCTTTCTTTGGATTATCTTCAAGGTCAAAGAAAAAAGTCGGTCACGTATCAATTTAAAAAGGCATGGGATTGGCGAGACCGATGCGACAGCAGCGACTGCGCGCGGCGACCTGAGCACGCCTGCCCAGGAGCCAGGCTGTACCTGCAAATCCCGATTGTGGTTTTCACAGAGAAGCTGCAAGAACCGGAGGATGGGTTGCATTATTGAGATCACAGCACTCATCTCCAGGTCATCTTTGCTCTTGTCTGCCGCAGCCTGTGCTCCTTCTCCGGCCGAATAATGATCATCAGGATCGGCTTCCCTCCGGTAAGTGTTGTAAGCCTTTCTTGTAGCTGCGGAGGCCTCCAGTAACTGATCCCGGACCTCCTCAGTGATTTGGGTCATAGGCTCTCTCACTAAAACACACAAGAACAGGTCTTCCTTAGGGAAACTGAATAAAGGGGACCAGAAAAATCTATTCACACATTTCCCATTACAGTTTCACACGCAGGCCAGCTACTCATCATCAGTTCTTTCTGGTAAGTATGTTTAGTGTGGTGTGAGGGTCTCGAGCTTAGAAGGGTATCATGTCACTCTTCGCACCTCTTATGCGAACCGCATTGAAGTTATAAATTCTGGTATTAATTGGTTAGGGCACACACATCTAGTGCTATCAGGAGTTATGATCAAAGGACCTACTACAGAAGAAAATTAGGATTTCTCCACTTATTGTTAGAGAAGGCACTGACCACAACCCACAGTCCAGGGTCGTTACTATGGATCAGATTTGGGCAGCTTGTCACGACAGACAAGGCGGCAGAGTCTCATCTCAGAAAATTCATTTCAATAGCACAATCTCACAAATGGATGAAGAGGGGATGAAGCTCTTGAAATCCCAAGCCAGGGCACCACTGATCTCTGAACTTTGCTCTGTGGGATCAGAGATCAGAGCATTATTGCATCAATTGAAATGAGTTCAAAACAAAGCATTTTACTCCCTTGTGACTTCAGAAACGGAACAACTAGGGATTACCTCTTTTCCTGCTCGGTACATCTCTGTCTGAGTCTTCATCCTTCTTTTTATTTCCTAAGTCACTAGTATTGACTGTGACAGTAGCCTTGATTTCTTGCTGTGCCACTTTCATGCGATCGTAAAAAACCTTAAAGAACTTTTCAGATTTCTTATCTTCCGTCAGTCGGCAGAAGAATGAATGCTACAAGAGAAAATGGAACAGGATCTCTATCTTCATTCACAGGTCTGAATACAGATTATTTCACCTTTCTTGACTGCGTGATATCCTGAAGGACTGGGAGGTTAATTAGTTTTCAGTAAACTGAAACCTAGAGCAACGGAAACTCATACTTTATTGCTAAGGAAGCCCCAGTGTCTCAGCTACGTTAACTCCCTTGTTAACAACTTCCAAATACATTTCTAAAGAAAAGTGAGTGCAATAAATCAAGCTAGCCCTAATACATTTAGGCAGCACACTTCTCTCTCAGCAGCGGAATTAAGGTACAATGAATTAAGGTAAGGTAAGGACAATGGGATTATCTGTGATTTGATTCTCAGTTCAGAAACAAAAGCGTATGAGCAAAATATAGAGGAAGAAGAACTGTCCTGCCTTCCCGTCCTCGAATCAAAGGGACTGTGACTCTCAACATGCAATAGTCCATGTTAATCACAGTCCAAAAACGTACCAACAGGGCAATGTAATGAGGGATATTTTGTGCTAAGTTTCCATCGTCCTGTCTGCAGCAGACTTCTTAAAACCCCTTTTAATTGCTACTCCAATGTATCTTTAAGTAACAGAAAAACTGAAAGCATTGACTACTTTTAAAAAGGTTTATTAATGTTCTTCTGCCCGTATGTGCAGAGAGACAGAAAGTTCTTCCTAAAATCGAGGAGAATACAAATCATGTACAGGTCAAAAAGGAGCCACCACAGTGAGTGATCAGACAATTCTTGATGAAACCAATATGCTGTTACATAAATCAGGACCAGAGCTTAAACACAACTGAAGGATGAACTTATAAGTGGGTCACCTTATGCAGAGTATTATGAAATTAGTTAGCATTCTGCAGCGGCTCACGATCCAACAGCTTTACATGATGAATAGGAATGAACCCTGATTTATTGAAAAAACAAATTAAAATGGGAATAGCAATATATCCTGCCTGCTTTTCTGCAAAGCAGAGCACACAAGGCCGTCTCTGGTACGCCTGCCTTTGATCACTCCCAAGCAGCTGCAGTCAGAACAGCGCTGAAAGACTTTGAAACACTAATAAAGTTGCATCTTTGATTACAGACAGAAGAGCAGCGCTCTTAAAGAAGTTGGTCAATATTCACATGAGAGATCCCTCCCGCTACTGCCATTCCTTCTACCTGCCCAGAGCATCTCAGGTAAACTCTTAAGAGTCCATTCTTACTTCTAATGATTAACAGAGAGGAGGGAAAGGAGAACCACCCAGCACGGGCATCGCACGCCCGCAAAGCCGGCCACACCGGTACCTTCTCCTGACATCCGTCCAAACCGCCTGGTAGAACAGAGACGCCAGCACCCCACAAGAGGTGTCTTCTACTGAAAGCTGCTGCAACAGAAACTGCGCTGGGCCCTGTGACATGGCACAAGACGATTCGGGTGCCCAATTCATTTAACAGTATTTGCAGGTATCTGTAATCCAATACTTTATTTCAAGAGTTTTTAATGTTTTCTCATAAAATATACCCAAACAAAAACATCCTTTGTCTGAGTAAGAGTTTACTTATCCAGATTTTTTTTTTTATTCTAAACTGGTTCTTTGACCTGACCAGACTTAATATGGACAGAATACTGTCAAATTACAATCATAATCAAGAGGTGCATTAACATGATTTCCCTGAGCTGCTGACCAGTAACCAAACCCCGGGTTGGGTCATTTAGACAGCCAGCCCTTTGAGACACGGTCTCTTACGTGATGGCTAGAAGAACTGACGGAGACAGAGTATCTATGTTGCATCTTGAAAATTTTACTCTACCGGTATTACACAATGAGCATACCAGTAATCATATTTTACAGATAGACCAGCATAAACCATAGGTTCCGGAAAGGGTAACCGCTTTCTGAAAAATGCCACGACTTGCTCGTCAGGCGAGTGATGGTTGTCACCTGGCTGCACATCTCAAGAGCCTGTACAGGAGGAGTTTCCCTGCGATGAAGCAGCGGTGAAGGAAAAGCTTTTTTTTTTTAAATGAATCACGCTGAAGAAATACCTTGTATGCAAGTAATTGTTACTTGCTGGCAGGCTTAATTTTTGTCATCCTTTTGAGCTTCTTAACTGACTTCCCACTGCACTTCAGAGAAAAAACAAATGAAACAAACATTTCCAGTAATTCTTTCTTATGCGTGCTGTGCATACGTTCAATGGTCGTCACAAAATGATTGTTTCAGTTTACGTCAGTTAGGATGCCTAACACCTTCACACGTATGAATCAACCACATGCCAGCTATCAAACATACTGTATTTTAAGAGGTGTGACCTTGCAAGTTGCGCTTGAGCAGGTAATTGGTAGTGATAATTATGACAGAAATCCTAAAATTTATTTACAGGTGTAGCCTCAATGCAAAAAATGGAAAGATCTCCCTTTTAAAAATGGAAATAGAGTGGCCATTTTATTGCTAAATAAAGCAATGTGTCCTGGCTTGCACATAGATGTCGTGCAACCACCAGCAAGACTGCTGAAGGAGCAAGTGTGCTAGGAGAGCAGCTTGGAACGAAGAGAACAGCAAACCTCGACACCCACTGGGGTTTTTGAAGAATAGTGCTTTTAACGTACCACCGACACGGGAGCATTGGACTTCAGCCGTTCCTTTGAGGGCCCCTTGACGCAAATGAATGCAAACCCAAAAGCCAAGTGTCCTGTCAACAAGAGAGCGCGCTGCCCTCACCGTGCCCGGGCAGCGGAGCCCAGGCCAGTTCTTCATCTCCCCGACAGACCCTGTTGATTCAGCCACCGCCAAGCTGGGACCCGCGATCTCCAAGAACCCTATGGTAGGGCAGGGCAGGGCACCGCGACCTGTAACGTACCAGTCTGTGGACTTCAGCCGGCTATCCCAGTACGAGGTACCGGAGGAAAAGCTACCTGAAAGGCAAGTGAGGATACGAGCTTCATCTCGTACTCGAGACGCTGGCAGTGGACCAGTTGCCTGCTCACACAGAGTGCTAAAATCAAGCAGTATGAAACTGTATTTTAACTGTGTTTTGTTAACGACTGTTAAGAGTCATTGTCATTAAACAAGAGACATCACATGACACACAGAAGATCATGAGGTTTGTTTTATGAATGCCAGCCTCAGCAAACGGCTTTACAAGTACACGCACCTCAGCAAAACGCAATACATAACCAGAGCACAGCAACCAGCCGATTAAATGAACCAAGACTTCTCTCTGATGCGAGGATATCGGAGATAATGTGACTGTAATTAATTACACAGCCACAGAATGAAACAAAGTCAAAAACATCCGCATATGACATGCACAAGCTTCTAACATGATAGCTACGCTCACCGTGCATAAGGGCATCACACAAAGTGTTCTCAATCGTTATTTTAAAGATGGAGCAACCACCACCTACACAAGCTCATTCAAGACTAACTTGGGGCAACGGAAAGAGCTTTGTTAAGAAACACAAGGGGAAAATCTTCTTGCGTAAAGGCTTCCAAGTTCTTGTAGGTGGCTGGAGAATAAATATGTTTTTGTGGTGCATTGTTTCCACGCAGGTAGGAAGCACTAGGCAAGTAGCAGTATGCCGCATCTTTTACAGGCGTTCGATACGTGAAGCATTATGATGAGCCTGTGTTTGTTTCGAGGCGATGGAAGCAGAAGAACCCAGCATGGGCATCACATCTGCCAAGTCAGCCACACTGACTCCTCCTCCCAACACCCAAAGTGGGCTGTTAAATTACTACAGAGTAAAACAACTACCACCACCAGGTACTAGGAAACCTGTGCAATAACATCTCCTTCCTTCTCCTCTCCATCACCCAACTCTGCTCCCAAAGAAATCCAACCAGAAACCTCACGCACAGCAGAATATCCCCCTTACACCTCTGCCCTCCAGCACACAGCCTCTGAGCCGAAGGAGGACGCTAAGTAAAAACCATCACCACACCACCTACAACTTCATCTCCCTGGTCCACGCAGAACGTTGCAGAAGAAAAGCTGCAAACCAAGTGACTGATTTCACTTGAAAAGAAATCAAAGGCCAAGTTTAAATTACAGCGTGTTGATCGGCTACAGCCTGGCCCACCTCTGAGCACCATCAGCCCTTCACTCTTGCTCAAAGACAACTTTGGGCTCAGTTAATAAGTAACGCATCTTTTGGAGAAATGCATCTTTATCTTTCTTTAGAAGGCATCAGAGGTGATGAACTATGTCTGTCCATATTCTGTTCCAGTGGTTAATTACTGTTGGAAACATGTGATTAAGCTCCTTCTTATGTCACTCTAACCTCCAGTCACTGATTTTTTTTTTTTTTTTTAATTTATGTCTTTCCCATGGTTATCTCAGGAAGTTGGTATCCTCTCCCCTTCAAATTATTTACATACGCTATTAAATGTTTACCTACCTTTTTTGCTAAACTGAAAATACTATTTTTGCTTGCTGGCATTTTATTCAGAAATAATATAATTTTCTGTGGTGGTTATTTTTTGGCATGTTCTTAAACATTGCGGATCATTAACAATCTGGATTGTAGAATTCAACTTAAAAAAAAAAAATCAGCAAAGAACAGGCACATTACCTAGCATCACCACTTCACCTCTTCACCCTCCTGCCTTGCCTTCCAAGGTCTTTGACACAAAATATAGGTAATTTCCAATGATGAGTGGCAGAGCAGCTCAGCTGATTTCACTTGAAAATAAATCAAAGGCCAAGTTTAAATTACAGCATGTTGATCACCTACAGCCTGGCCCACCCAGCAGTTCAGGGGAGCAGGATCCGGGAGGCAGGATAACCTCACAGCATGTACGAACACTCCTTAATGTGTCTCATGTACCAGCAAATCGGTGGCAAACTGGTTTTTTACCCAGCAGAGCTGACATCCGCCCTTTGGAGAGCGAAGCCGTCAACCGCAGCAGAGCGATACCTTTGTGCAAGGTGTACCGAGAATAGACGCACCTGACTAATCCGCTCTACGTTTAACTAATCCACAGTAAGTTTAGCGATGAACGCGTGTGCCCAGCGTAGGACTGTTAAAGGCGGGGAGGAACCAGTGAAGGCAGCTGGTTTCAAGCTCTTGCCGTTGAGAGGGGTACCCCGTTTCGCCTGCGTGTGCTGTCACCTGTACTGGGAACACCTGCCCCTACGCCGCCACCCGTTAGCCGGATCTGCCCCGAAGTCACAACCGTTTGGCCAGCCGAGAAAAGGAACAGCCGTTGGATGGTCTCGCATCGAATAGCTCGGCTTTCCGCCCCGCGCTCAGTACCGACAGGCTGGACCGTACGCGCTGTCTGAACGATCACGTCGTGAGAAATACAGCTCAGCCCTATTAGCGAGCCTCAGGTTTAAGAGGCATCTGCTGGGATGCGTGCTTCCTCCTGAAGGAAGGGGGGCCTGGTTTTAGGGAAGCTGCAGAACCCAAGCAGACATCGCCGTCATCCCGCAGAGGACCGAGCGTTTCCCGCACCACACCCTCGGCGTTCACAGCGCCGTCCCAGCAGACCACAGCCGTTAAGCCCTGCCAGACCATCTGATCAGGCCCCAGAGGATTCCTCGGGAAAGCAAATACTCGATTACCGATAAATAAGGGAAAGCCATGCCAGGGCAAGCACCTCACAAGTTGAAGCAAACTGTTGTCATCTCCTTCCCCATTTCCCTAATGCCAGTGAACAGAAAATACCCCATGAACTTGACTAGTTGCGGTATTTTAACGAGGAAAGTCCCTCCAGATAGAAGAGAGATCAGCTCTCTGGCTCCAATTCAGGACATTTTATTCCAATGCTAGGGAGAGATTATTATGGGGATGTTAACTTGCTTGGGCTCTCTGGACAGGCTGCCAGCATCAACTGATGCAAAACTTCTGTGCTACCTCATGTCTGCGGAAAGGGCTTGCCACCCCCGTACCATTTCTTATAGCTGGACTACTTCAAAGCAGCCACATTTTAAGGGGAACTGCACTGCTAACACAAGCACTGAATTAAATACAAATGCCAACCCTTTACGTTCTGCCTAAACATATTGCAAGGGCTTCCACTGCAGAAAATTCAAACCCAACTTTGCTTTCTCTCCCCCCTCAATTATTTATTTTAAATATCACCGATACCTCTCTTTTCTTGAGATCTTCCATACGTCCCGGCTCACTAAAAGCTCCATCACTCCGCGACATGTGTCGAGAGTGATAGGTATCATTAGTCTCGCATAGCTTAAGGAAATGGCAGCTGAAATATTTCATGCTGAGCTTACTTCACAGTTTGAAGTAAACCCATAAGGAAAATCTGCCAGAACACCTCAATTGCCTGGCGTTTTATTTTACAAAGTGCAAAATAAGCTTTTGTCCTGAAAGCAGAAGGGGGACTTCCCAGCTCGATTTTCCACAAATAAGACAAAGTCCCTGTCACGGGCATCCACGTGCCATCCTGCAAGGCTCTGCTCCCAGTCACAGAGGAGGTTTTTGGAGGGGTACAAATGACACAGACAGACCCTTGTAACAGCTCGTCCTTCCCAACCAGCTTCAAACGAAAGTAGCAGCAGATTTACACCACTCATTTTAGGAAGAGCCCTTGTATTCTACCTACAGCAACACCTAAAATCTTGATCAATATAAAGTAATTTCATGAAGAGGAAAGTAGGAACAAACCTCCCAGAGCCAGTACGAACCCCCAGGACAGTGAGGTGCCGGGGTGGTCACCAGGAGGTGAAGGCACAGCGGGGCAGCGATAGGTAGAAACGTGGCTGCTGCGTTCGGGGTTGAAATCCCCCCGCAGACGGAGCAGATGGCTTCCAAAGCGTGGGAGACTTGGGGGCCTGACCTGCCTTCAGCACAGAGCCTTATTTGAGTTCCTCCTGCGTGCATGTGGGAGCACGCACCCGCCAGGTCACCCAGCTAATCTGTGCAAGGCTCTTGCATGGCAGGAGCATGAATCCCACTTCCTCGCCGAACCAGCGAGCTCTGTGTAGGTGTGAGAAACAAGGAAGTCTGCAGACTCCCCAAAAGAAAAAAAAATTGTGTAAGATCTTCTTGAGAGACAGAGGAATTAAAGAAAACCATAGCAACAAGTCAGTCCACCTACCCAAACCACCCACCCACCACCAGTTTCATTTGCTGACGCACTTCAAAAACAAGCTGGCTCCTACCCGCTCTGGAAGGTGAGCAAGCCCTGAGAGCTCATTAAATTCCCTTCTCAGCTACTCTTGTATGCCTGCAGCTAGTGAGCGAGTGGGATATAAATAGAAGTTATATAACATCTCTTTGTTGATTCCTGTGCTTACCAAAAAAAAAAAAAAAAAAAGAAAAAGGCAGCAATACCTTGTTTTTCTGAATAGCTTGCCTCTGCCTGCTTGTGGAGGACTTTAATCCTGCTAGGGATCATCTGAAAAGTTTATGTTGGACCTGGATCCCATGGAGAAGAATAGGCGGAATTAGTGATTTATGTCCCTGCTCCTTAACAGGACCAGGATCACCCCTGAATGCCAACAGGACTGCCACACGAGAGGTCCCTGGTACCCAACTATCATGAACGACACAAGGCTACCAAGACTGGAGAGCAAGCAACGCAGCTGAACCCCGACGTAGCACCTCTCCTCCTTTTTTCCGCCTATATTGCTCAGTCACATAGATGAGCACCTCAAAATCTAAGCATAAAACCTTCATTTTGGGCAAAAAGGCTGAAAGATGCCGTGATACAGGAATACTGATGGCCCAAATATACTTCAAAAAGTAGTGTCAGCTGCAGCAGAAAGACTAGAAGTGGTATCGTTACAACCTCACCTCTGCATCCTACTGCCCCCAATGAAAATTACATCGTCTCCGCAGGAACGATTCCTCACAGCTCTTGGCTCTGTCGCTTGGCACATTATTAGCAGGGCTTGTTTGTTCTTAACATGGTGGTATCTAATGGCTAATTGAGATTGAGACATTAAAATACATGTGGAGAGACCATGTGCTCCCACGGGCTCGCCATCTCGAGTCTCCTCACGTGCTGTGGATCAACAGAGCATCAGGACATGGATCTCCTCAGCGCTGACTTAATTACTAGTGCAGGTTCTGTGTCTTGTTTTGAAGGTAACTGTGCCGTGAAGGAGGGTCTGGATTTGCAGCGTGCTTCACTCTGGAGAGGGCTCTCTTTTGCAAGAGGACAAGATCACTGCCCACAGCTGAACCCGGTGTTTGATGCAGGTCCTTTATGAACTTTTTTTTTTTATGTCATGTTCTGAAGTAACTCAGAATGTAAAAAAAATATATTATGGTATATTTTGGTATAATGGTGTGTGTATATATATATATATATATATAACTTGAGAAGAAAACTCATTAAAATGGTAGAAGACATGTGACTACTTAACACATGCCAACAGCTTGCTGGTTTTGCATTAGTTTCCCTAAACAGGTATTATTGAAACAGTGTAAAAAAGATGTAACATCCTGTATCAAAGGATTCTGCCCCTTATAAACAAACACTAAACAGTTGAAATTTTAAGAGACTTTTTTTTAATCAGTGACCAAAAATACTATTTACAGAAGTTTAGCAATCCAAAGAGATCCTTGCCTCTGAAGCACTTACCATCACGTACGATTTTGTGTCCTCGCTGATATCTGTGACTGTTGCAAGTTTTGTAGTAAGTAAATCTGGTTTAAAAAGTCTGAGCCACAAACCCTAAAGAACCCTCGTGCCACTAAACCTACCTTTTATATCACCAATACTTCTGTAACTTCTTGTAAAATTTTCTCCCGATTTTGAAGGGCAATTGCAGCCACGGAGAGAAAGAAACTGGAAGTGATTTGGCAACCCAATAGGACAAGACACATCTAGGCCAACAGGGAAAGTGGAAAAGATAAAGCGGGTTGACTGGCTGGTTCCAGCTATTCCACTGCCAATCGGTTTAGCGTTGCTTATCCTTCCATTTTTGTCACAGTATTTCACAGCCAACACGACCGCAAGCCGAAGGACACCGATCTGCCTCAAAGTTACCGCTCACCAAACCCAGGGGCTGCGGCGGCCGGCCCCAGAAG